ATTCGGGTTTAGCCGTCTTAAGAGACGTATGGCTAAACCCAAATGTATTTAGTTCTTGGTCTAATGTTAGTTCTAGTGACAGTGCAAGTGTGAAACTAGAACTAACACTATACCTAGTACTAGAATCATTAGGGTTTAGCCGCACGTCTCTAGTGTTAGTTCTAGTTATACGCTAGCATTGTTACTATGTAGAACTAACACTATACCTAGAACTAGAATCATTCGGGTTTAGCCGTCTTAAGAGACGTATGGCTAAACCCAAACGTATTTAGTTCTTGGTGTAATGTTAGTTCTAGTAACAGAGCAAGTGTAAAACTAGAACTAACACTATACCTAGAACTAGAATCATTTGGGTTTAGCCGCACGTCTCTAAAGACGGCTAAACCCGAATGATTCTAGTTCTAGGTATAGTGTTAGTTCTATATTGTAATAGTGCTAGCGTAAAACTAGAACTGACACTAGACCTAGAACTAAAATCATTCGGGTTTAGCCATCTTAAGAGACGTATGGCTAAACCCAAACGTTTTTAGTTCTTGGTCTAATGTTAGTTCTAGTGACAGTGCAAGTGTAAAACTAGAACTAACACTATACCTAGAACNTTGTTTACGAAAGATACACATAATAAAATATACAGATCGCTTCCTTTCAATCACTTCACTTTATCGCTTAAAAGAGTCTTTTCGGAATATAATATAAACTTAACTTTCTCTAATAATAGCACTATTCTGAATCTATTATCTAATTTTCACTTTAATAAATACAACATACTTAAGGAATGTGGAGTTTATTCTATCAATTGTTATAATTGTAACAGCATATATGTGGGACAAACAGGACGAAAGCTAGAGAACAGAATAATAGAACATAAAAGTAAATGCAACTCTAACGTGTATAAACATACAGTACAAACCGGACACAAAATAAATTATGAAAATATAAAACTTATTCACAAACGTGATAAAGGTTTTTGCTTAGATCTTTTGGAAGCATTAGAAATTGCAAAACACAGTAAAAATAAAAACTACATCATGTTAAATGATCAATTGGATATGAAGTTTACACCGCTTTTTCAATGTTTAAGAAATATTTGATTTTATTTTCGAAATCGCCGCAGTTTCATTTCGTTTACCTGTTTCTGTCTTGGCATGTGTTTTTTCATACAAGTTTTAAAGGTCATCCATTTTAGTGTTATTTTGTACATCGTTTGTGTAAGAACTTATGTGGTTTTGTCTTTTTACAGTTTATTTATTTATATATTATATTTTAAAGTGTAATTTCACATTTTTTAAAATGTTATTTATATGTCTGCTCTTTGTGTTGATTTTATTTTTTTATTGACCGTAAGTTCTATAAGAATTTTAACTTTTAATTATTAAATTGTAATTAAAATATAATTGTAGATTCGGCTGAAGATGACTAAGTAAAACTAGTCGAACCGGTTCCGTTAAAATAAATTGAATTTTGCAAGATAACAAGTTATATTTATTTGTTTATTATTTTAATATTTAAACGAAACTTGCAACATGGATATCAACAGTTACAGTAATTTTTAAAAGGCTTAACTTAAAAGTTTTTAGTTCTAGTTTTAGTTCAACGATAAATGTTATTAATAAATTCTTTTTATTTCATAAATAAAACATACAGTTTTTAAAACATACAAAAGAAAAATAAAACTATCTTAGTTTCGTTGATTACTCACCGAAACCATAGAAAAATATTTCTCTTTCGCTCTAATTAAATTCGCGAGTTCCTTTCCTCGTACAAACACAAATTTTCAATATCGGATAGGACTGCTGTTTGCGACGTTGAATATTAAAGATTTCGGAACGGAAGTAGTTACTAGAGAGAATATAAAGCGGGACCTGCAGCTGAATATTCAACACTTCCAACAGTTTCAATGGGAGGCAATAGCGGTAAATATGCTAAAGTCCCCTTGAATCTTCTATGTTTCGTCTAGGAATGGTTGTTCGAGTCTTGTTGGTTTTCATGAGAGTTTTATTTATATCAATTTTCAATTTCAATTTCAACCAATCAAGAGGAATCAAATTTAATGCAAAACAAACTAATAAAAAAAACGATTTAAATTGAAATTTTTACTTTTATTTAAGTAATATCCTTTTTAATATGGGGTTCTGTTAATATGAAGTTCTGTAAAGAACCCTCGTTTTTAATTAAAAAAAACCTCTTTACAGTATTGAAGTAATCTCATCGCAATTTCCATTTGAACGTTCTTTGGCATATTCCCCCATTTACAGATTCTAATTGGGCGTACGTTTCGAAGATATACATCTTCATTTAAGCTGCCTTTTTCACAACCATTTCCTGTTGCAATTTATTGCCCAACCGCACGTACGGTTTTAGTTCGCTCGAGAGGAACTATAAATTTTCTCGATTACCAAGCTTTTTCATGTATTCAAAAATGCGTTTTTAACGTAGCAGGTATATTCAGATTTATAAAAAGTGCTATAATAAATTAACAAAAACCTTCAAATTCATATTTATAATATAAATAGCGTACTGTAATAAAATTTCAAACTGTAAGAATTTATAACCTAAAGGGTTCTATGGCAAAAACCGGATTGTGAACATGCGCATTGAAAATTCATCTGGACCAGTGCAAACGTATCAAAATGTGAACGTGCCTTCCTCATGCATAATTCACGCGGCTTAATCAACCGGGACAACGCTCTGGATAAACACAAGTTCCCATCAAATATGTATTTCTCTAGTCATATGGTTGGAAAACGGTCTTGCTAGCTTGTACGATTCCTCTGATGTTGTATGGTCTACGTTGTTTTGCTATCGACCTTATTTCGTGGAACTGACTTTCTGGTAACAAGGATCTTGTTACAACAATCGCTAGGATTATGCGGTTTTCCTCACAACAGTCGCGAAGTCTGTGTTTACAAATAAAACATGATGCCTAAATTAAACGTGATATATATATTATAAACAACCACTGATTATTCGCTTATTAAATTCGTTATTTTTTTTCTGATTACAAAAATATAGGGTTTGACAGGTCTATTTCTTATTGTTTTAGAATAAAGCTAAAAATAAACTTTTTTTTTAGTGTTGTCGAAGAAATTAAATTTACAGTTTCCTGTAAATTACGGTACTATAACTAAAAATTAAAAAAAC